TGCAGTGGCTCAATCTTGGCTGGATGCAACCTCTGCCTCCTTGTTCAAGTGATTTTCCTGCCTCAGCCTCCCGAGTAGCTGGGATTACAGGCTCCCACCACTACACCTGGCTAATTTTTGTGTTTTCAGTAGAGACAGGGTTTTGCCATGTTGGCCAGGCTGGTCTTGAACTCCTGACTTCAGGTGATCCACCCACCTTGGCCTCCCAAAGTGCTGGGGATTACTGGCATGAGCCACCATGCCCAGCCTCACTCCTCTTCTCTAAATGAAGAAATAGATCGGGACTCCTAAGTCTTTGAATTTCATGGGCCAATAAAATATTAAAAACCTATTGAAGGGGCCAGGTGCAGTGGCTTACACCTGTAATGCCAGCACTTTGGGAGACTGAGGCAGATAGATCACCTGAAGTCAGGAGTTCAAGACCAGCCCGGCCAACATGGTGAAACCTCATCTCTACTGAAAATACAAAAATTAGCCAGGTGTAGTGATGCGCACCTGTGATCCCAGCTACTCAGGAGACCGAGGCAGGAGAATCACTTGAATCAGGAGGCAGAGGGTGCAGTGAGCTGATATCATGCCAGTGTACTCCAGCCTGGGCAACACAGTGAGACTCTGTCTCACAAACAACAACAAAACCAACCTATTGAGGGAACCATACAGGTCACCGAGTTTTTATTCCACCAAGTAAGGAATTTTAAAGAAAAAGCAAAACCAGGTCAACAACTAACATCTGCCATGACCATTATTTCATGAGAGAACCCAAAAAGCAGGAAGGGCGTGGTCTCAGAACAAAGGATGGTCCACAGAACCAGACTCATCTAGCAGAATGGAAAGCACCCTACGTTGTTCTTGTTTTCATTTGGACCCACCAGGAGCTTCCTGCAAATACAGATGTGAACCTTCCTCCTGTCTCTGGGATGATCATCAGAGCAGCTGCTCAGGGTCAGACTCACCACAGGGCACAGGACTGGAGCCTTTCAGCAGAGGGGTCAACCCTGTATCCTCCTCTCACTTCTGCCACCTTCTGGCACTCCTGGCACCCCCAGCACTGCCCTAGTGACAGGGTGACCCCCAATGCTAGTGTCCTGAGATGCTGCCTATGACCACTGAGCCAGGGCCCAGAGCAGCCTCCAGGACAGAGACAGGCCTCTCCTAAGAGCATCCCCCAGGCACTGATGACGTCTTCTCATCCTCAATGCTTCCTGGAGCCCACTTTCCTCTCCCGCCCACTTCCCTCACACACCACAGCTCTCCTACCTTTTCCTCCTCAAACTCCCTGGAAGATCATTCCTCTCCTGACTCTGATCTTTAAGCCTCTAGCCCAAAGGTCACAGTTACACCAACCAGCAAGGCACAGTTCCCAGCGCACGCCCGTCTGAAGGAGCGGCTGCTATCCAGCTGTGGTGGATGTTGCCCTGTGCTTCCCAGGTCCCCTTCAAGCTGCCAGGCAGGCATGTGGTCCCAGGACCATGTTTAGCATCCCCTGCTGCAGGCCTCACCTCAGCTGCCTTGACAACAATCACGTACTTTCTTGGGGTGGCCCATGCCCAGTGACAGTGACCACTGTGGAAATATGAAGACCCGGTTAGCTTTGCCCCACACAGGGCAACTCTGAAGCTGTTCCATTTCCAGTTAGCCATGGGGCTATCATGGCTGTTGTGGGCCTGGACCACAGACGGTGCCATGATTCAGCCATGCCTGCTTCCTGCCCTGTCTGCCCCAGGTGTTGACCCCAACGGCAGCTTCCTGAGAAACAGCTGGTGTGTTTCTTACACAGCAGCCTCTGACAGGGTCTGCTTCCCAGACGCATCCAACCGGCCCCATCAGCTCAGTGATCCAAGCCCCAACCGAAGGGCAGCCTTTCTGCCTTCATTTCTTGCCCGGTCGGGACTTCCCACACACAAGCCTTGATGAGCTACCCTCTGGTCTTGATGTCAAAGAGCTGTAAGAACTTAGAATATTTTTTTCTCTCTTTTAAAAGGACTGGCCTTCCAGGCGTGGTGGCTCATGCCCATAATCACAGCCCTTTGGGAGGCCAAGGCAGATGGATCACCTGAAGTCAAGAGTTAGGAACCAGCCTGACCAACATAGTGAAACCCTGTCTCTACTAAAAAAAAATACCAAAATGAGCCAGGCGTGGTGATGTGCACCTGTAGTCCCAGCTTCTCGGGAGGCTGAGGCAGGAACATCGCTTGAACCCGGGAGGCGGAGGTTGCAGTGAGCCAAGATCGCACCATTACACTCCAGCCTGGGAGAGAGAGTGATACTCCATCTTCAAAAAAATAAATAAAATAAAAGGACTGGCCTTTGGGACCTCTGTCTAGCTATGGACTCAGTAGGCCAGCGCCGAGCAGCAAAGCTGATCAGAAACCCCTTTGTCCTGGGTGGCCTGCACCCTCTGTTTTCACGAAGCTTCAAACCACAGCACATAGTTGGAAAGCTGCAAGAGCAGATAATGTAAGGGGGAAATAAAAGCTCCAAAATATAATCCCCTTCACATACACAGTGGAGGTGGCAGGATGTTGTGGGAGGGAGGAACTTGAACTGTGCTGGGTTTCTGTGACGGTGACATGCACTTCAGCATCCCCGCTCCCAGTTATCAATGTGGATTCAAGATCTCCCAGAGTTATCGAGTGGTCGGTGAAAAAGAAAGGGAGACAAGGAAAAAGTTTTCCTTGAAGCTGGGCCCAGGGGAGACACCACGTAACGCTGCTCTGTGGATGTCTGACATTGCCCTGAAAGCCTCAGTTTTTTATTTTGCTCTTTCAATAGGGGAGGGGGAGTGAGATTACGCAAAGTTTCAGTGATAATTATACAAAAAGAAAACATTTGCAAAAACTGGTGCACAAAAATCACAACGTGGTATTATAAAAGCAGAACAATGTAAAGATAACTTTTCTGTGTGTCAGCATAGAAATCATACACCTTAGCAAGAATGGAGGTTAAACATAAACTTATGATTATCAGCAAGAACATATTGGGCTCACAGCTGCAGGGGGAACAGGATCTGACACAGGACAACCAGCCTAACCACAAAACTGCAAGAGGAGGGGCCTTCACGTGGGCCTGGAGGAGCAGTGGGAGAAGAAAGATGTTTACATCCTTAGCTCAACCACAGAGGTTCTTCCTCACATCAGTCGCCCCTCATGCGTCTGTTTATAGGCTCTCCAGAAGGGTCACATTCCCTTTCCAGGACCATAATCAATATCCCTTTCCTGGGAAAGGAGTCCGGGTAATAAGCCTCTCCATTACACGTCTGTTTACAGGCTCTCTGCAACAAGTAGCCCATTAAGCGCTGCCATCTCTCTCCGGGAGTCAGGCAGTGTGGTTAGTCCCTTTCACAGAATTCCTGTTTTTACCAGAACAGTTCAGCAGAGCCAAAGTTACAAGTTACCTCTTAGCAAAGCCAAAGTTACAAGTTACATCTCAGCTTTTCACATTATTCTTCGTTTTCTCAAATATAATAGTAACAAGCATCACAAAGCAAATAACTCATTTCAGGGAAACCAAATTCTAAGAATTTACAGGTTAGAAATCAACAACAATTTCTTCTTGTTATTTCAGATAGCTCGGGTTTGCCAATCCTTCTAGAAGCTTGGGGTCGCTCAGTCACCACTGAGGGGTCCATGGTATTCCCAACACCAGCCCTGCACTGTTTGCACCTGAAGCTCAACAAATTCCCACTGCCTGGGAGCAGGTGGCCAGGACAGCAAAGAGAGTGGGCTGTCTTGGGCTTCCATTCTTATTTCTGCATGTTCTGCCCTTCAGGACCCTGGCCAGATGGGCAGGAGACAGAAGCACGCCCTAAAGTACTGCTACTGTGGCCACCACCAGCAGAGATCAAAGGCAGAGACCCTTCTGCGAGGGTCCAAAGTCCAAACAGGCAGTTCCAGAGAGGAAACGCACATACCCACAGGACGGGTGGGGACCCAGGATGTACCCCCGCCCCAGGGGCAAGGATGGGGTTCTTATTAGATCCAGCACATGCTCCTCACATCCGCACAGCAGGAACACCAAACAATAGATACAATTTCAGTGGTGATTGTTGGTGAACTTACCCAGACTTTCACAATCAGAAAAATCTGAAAAGAAGCTCTTTCAATTTCAGCGTATGTTTGTTTCATGGCTTACGGTTTAGTGTTGTTTTTATTTTGGATTCCATGGGTGGCATAATCTTTTCAGCATTAGAGACCTTTAAAAGGTCTTTCCCAGCTCACCCCAGGAAGCAAGAGGACACAGAATGAGAAGCAGGAAAGTGGCGGGGTGTGGGGGCCACGGCTCAGCCCCAAGAAACTCAGGCTGTGAAAGGCAGAGCCTTGGGAGCACAGAGGCTGCTGTGGCGGGGTTTGATGGTGAATGAGAGGCCTCCCCTGCTTTAATGAAGAACATACTCACCCCCCCACCACTCCCACTAAGCCTGCCCTGCCTTCAGGGTCCACACACCACAGGTGTGCACAGGTTCATGCGTGTGTGTGACCTTAACATGTCAGCCACACATACAGTCACTCGGAAACATTGTCATAGCTTCACACACATGCACGCAGTCAATGACTGTGCAGGTATCATGGGCAAACCTAGAGCAGCTTCTCAGGCATCAGAACTCCAGCTTTGCTGTGGTTCCCAGAAGAGCCCTGACTTTGTCCCAAGACAGTGGTTCTCCAAGTGAGATCCTGGTGCCAGCAGCATCAGTATCACCTGGGAACTCGCTGGAAATGCTCTGGGTTCTGTCTTCTCCTCCAAGAGAGCCTGGGGCTGTGGGGTCCTCCCTTGGGGCTAGAAACTCCATCATAGTTTTTATGTACCAACCCCTATGCTAAAAAGACTTTGTGCACATTGCCGCATTTAAAATTCACAAATGTACCTTGAGATGCACACCATTTTTTCCCTACATTTTTCGGATGGGGCAGATAGAGCTCAGAAACGTTGAGACTTGCCTGGAGTCCCCAAACCAGGCTCAAACTCCGTCTGCATTCAGAATCATTCTTCAGATGCAGCTCCTATCCTGGGCTGAGAGTAAACACCCGCCAAGAGCTGTGCCCTCCATACCAGCCCCATCTTCCCCATGCCTCTCCCTGCTTTGGCAGCCAGTCCTGAATCTTTCAAGAGACAAGGCCAAGCAGGGGGTGGGACCAGGGGTGGGAGCCAAAGCCCCACCTCGTGAGCAGGCAGCGCCTCTGCCAAGGCCCCCACCAGCCCTGCTCCAGAGAATGGCAGGGAAGCTGCGGTGAGGGCTGGCAGCTGGCAGAGTCCTGGGCACCCAGCCCCTGGCCTGGCTTACACCACAAAGCCTGGAGAGAGACTGCGGCGCCATTGACCTGTGGACTCCAGAGATTCCTTCTGTGCACTCCTCTGATGGGGAAGGTTTCCTGAATTACCGGAGGAGAAACCTGAGTTTGAGTCCTGACTTGTCACCAGCTTCCTGAGTGACCTGGGCTGGTCCCGTCCCCTCTCGGAATCTCCGTCTTCCACCTCTTCAGCGAAGGGGTTGATTTATAAGGATGTTTTCTGCTCTGACACTGTAATTTGAATTCTCTATTTCCACGTGACATTCAAGAAGTCTGGCTGGCAGGATGGAATCTGAAATGACAGTGGCTCTGGACTGGGCTTTGTGCTCAGCCCAACTCATCTTTGAGACCTAGGAGTGGCACCCGGCTCTCCTGACGTGCCACCACCCTTGGCATCTGCTCCTCTCCCTGCCCCAATATACCCATGCTCCGAAGGGGAGTTCTCTTCCATAGCAAATCCAGGAGGTGCCGAGGAAGCGGGCCCTTTGTTCCAGACCCAGAAGCAGCCATGGGGACCTGTGATGTTGTGACTGAGGCCAATGTCTCATCTGGTCCTGAGAGCAATACCACGGGCACCACAGCCTTCTCCATGCCCAGCTGGCAGCTGGCACTGTGGGCCACAGCCTACCTGGCCCTGGTGCTGGTGGCCGTGACGGGCAATGCCACAGTCATCTGGATCATCCTGGCCCATCGGAGGATGCGCACGGTCACCAACTACTTCATCGTCAACCTGGCTCTGGCCGATCTCTGCATGGCTGCCTTCAACGCCACCTTCAACTTTGTCTATGCCAGCCACAACATCTGGTACTTTGGCCGCGCCTTCTGCTACTTCCAGAACCTCTTCCCCATCACAGCCATGTTTGTCAGCATCTATTCCATGACTGCCATCGCTGCCGACAGGCAAGAGGGGCCTTGGGGAAGCTGGGGTGGCGGGGGGAGCCTCCTCACTAAGCCAGGGCTCAGGGGTGGTGACATGTCTGCAGTCACACACTAAATTCAGGTGGAACCAAGGGAATGGCCTCCCAAATCTGGTCATGGTCTAAAACTATGAATCTGGAAGGCGAGGGGACTGTGGAACCAAAGCAGGTAGAGTGAGGGTTAGACACAAAGAGGAACTTTGCACTAGACGGGTTGTTCAAGTCTGTAGGGGAAGCGGGCCGTGTTTTAAAACTTTCTGAAATGTTCTTTCCTGGAGTTGATTTTTGTTTTGCTGTCTTTCACTCCAAGGAAATGTCTTATACTGTTTTTTGTTTTCATTCCAGATAGATTACGACAGGGGAGAAGTTTAAGATTGCATGCAGGCCGGGTGCAGTGGCTCACCCCTGTAATCCCAGCACTTTGGGAGGCTGAGGTGGGCGGATCACAAGGTCAGGCATTTGAGACCAGCCTGACCAACATGGTGAAACCCTGTCTCTACTAAAAATACAAACATTAGCTAGGTGTGGTGGTGCATGTCTGTAATCCTAGCTACTTGAGAGGCTAAGGCAGGAGAATTGTTTGAACCCAGGAAGCAGAGGTTGTGGTGAGCTGAGACCATGCCATTGCATCCTGCCTGGGTGACAGAGCCAGACTCCAACTCAAAAAAGTTTTAAAAAAGATTTTAAAACATTGCATGCAATTACCATCTAATAGGGCCAATTATTTTCCTGATGCTGCTCAGGGCTTCAGGCTAAAGTTAGATGCTCAGCCTAGCCCCGAGATAGACTTCCAGTGTGACTTTCTTGTGGCCATCCACAGGCATGTCCGTGCCCAGAGGGAACTGGTGGGCTGAGGTGCCTGGGCTGGGGCTAAGGCATCAGTGTGCTGTGTGGCTGTGGGAGAGTCACCAGCCCAGCAGGCTCTCTGCAGGTCGGGTGAGACTATGACATCTCACCCAATGCAGGGAAGGGCTAGAGGGTGTGGGCCTGGGTTAGGGGAGAGGGAGACAGGGACGAGGGAGCTGGGCTAACTAGAGAGCTCCTGCCATTCATGATGCCCTCTGCTCACAGGTACATGGCCATCGTCCACCCCTTCCAGCCTCGGCTCTCAGCCCCCAGCACCAAGGCAGTCATTGCTGGCATCTGGCTGGTGGCTCTTGCCCTCGCCTCCCCCCAGTGCTTCTACTCCACCATCACCATGGACCAGGGTGCCACCAAGTGTGTGGTGGCCTGGCCCGAAGACAGCGGGGGCAAGACACTCCTCCTGTAAGGCCTCTGGGGGACTGTCGAGGGCAGCTGTGTGTGTGTGTGTGTGTGTGCGCGCGTGCACATGAGTCCATGCATGTGTGGTGTGTGTGCATGGCTGTACACGAGTGAGTGTACCTGGGATTCTGTGAATATACCTATATGCTTAGTAAGCAACGTGCCCAAAGTAGCAGACCTGTTCTTAGCGTTTTACATATGCTAATCCATTTAATTCTCCTAACAATATGGGGTATATATTATATTATTATTCTTACCATTTTTTAGATGAAGAAACCGATACACTGAAAAACCAAATAACATGGCCAATACCACACAGCTAGCAATTCAGATCCTCCTCGTCATCTGAATCCAGCTAGGGATTCAAATCCACGAAATCTTGCTCAGGGCCCAATCTCCTCACCACGCTGCTACACCAATACATACCCATGCATCCTCAGATAAGGATAGGCACGCATGCACACATGTATGTGACTGTACATGTCACATGCACATGCACCACCCATTTCTGCCTGTGTGTGCCTGTGTGTGCATATGCAAGAGTGTGGGCATCTTTCTAGATGTGTGTGCACACAGGCACTTGTTAGAGACGTGTGTAGGCACGTGTGTGGGGGAGCTTCTCTATGTGCTCAGGCCACAAAGGGCCAGGAGACTGAGGCAGAAAGGGTCCATGATGGAGCCTGGGACATTTTCAGGAGGAGGCCTGGTGTCTGCCTCACGCTGAGGTGGGCATCATGGGCTGGAGGCAGGGGTAGAGGAACTCAAGCATGGCCCAGCTACCGTGTGATCCTGGGTGTCCTTTCTCCATTCCAGCCTCAGTTTTCAAGGATCTCATAATGTGTCTTTATGGTCCCCAGACACTGAGCCATTGCATGGTAGAGGCTAAAGAACTGACTGAGGTTCTGGGGTCAGCAGCCAGGCACAAGTCGCGGCCTGCTCCCGCCTGGTCGGGGTATGCCTCACACGCATGTAACCTCTGACCTTCTCTCTCTAAAATGAGGATTCATCATAGTACCTTGCTAAAGGGTTGTTGTGAACATAAGTGAGATAGTGAACGTGAAAGCCATCACACCATGCCTAGCACAGAACTGGTACCCAGTATGTGATAGTTTAAATAGGGGTCACACCAAAACACACCTGGGGGTGGCCAATCAGTCTCACAAAGCCCCGGCTGCCTCAAGCATGAAGGTGCACATGGTCTGAGGTGAGGGCTGCCAGGTAGCCATGGCAACACACCTCTCCTCCAACACCTTCCCTGCCTGGTCGCCATCTGTCCTGAGCACCTGCCAGGAGAAGGCTGCTGTTGTGGGCTTCAGGGCTAGGGAAGGTGCCATTCCTCTGAGAAACCATTCCTGGGGAATGACGAGTCTCGAGAGCAGGCCCTGCCCAGGGTCTTTGCCCCTTCCCTGCACCCCACCATCTCACCGAGGGTGATATCCATATATGGGGAGTGCCCTGCTTTCTGGCTCAGGGAAGGATGGAGAGTGGAACATATTGAATCTGGCCACTTGGGGACAGTGTTTCTCCACCTTAATACAGGACCATTGCACGAGCCAGCTCTCTGGGAATAGCAAGTTCCAATCCACATTCAGGCAACCGGGAAAAACAGGCGGGCAGGCCGGGCTAGGAAAACCATACTTTGGTGTTACTTAAAATTCCTAAATAATTTGGGGAAAGCCTGGTTTTAAGTGTGAGTATGTGTTATTGTTTTACTTGGGGGAATGCCTAATTTAGAGATTTAGGATGAAGGTGAATTCCTGTCCTGCATGACATCCTGGGAGCAAGCAGCAGAGGAGTGTGGCTCCTACTAAGGAGGGACTTGAAGATGGCCTCCTCCTTTTACAGATGGGGAAACTGAGGCTGAGGGAAAGACCTGACTTGCCTAAGACCGTGCTTTAAACAAGAGGCTGGACAAGAGCCCTATTCTGCCTCCCACAGTGCTGACCCTCAGGAAAAGGGAAATTGGGTCGTGATTAAATCTGTAGACTGATATAACAGACTTCCTGTGCCTCTCTGAGCCTCAGTTTCCCCATCTGGACACTGAAACAGGTGGCTTGGTTGATCCTCATTCTGTAAGGTGACGGGGCCTGTCCTCGTTGGCCCTCCTCCCTTCTTATCTGCTCCACACTGGGGTTCTCAACCCAAAGCCTCCATGAGGATCAGGGAGTCTAGGAACCCCTGAATCTCTTGTAATTGGCATGCTTGCCAAAAGCACCCAAGCAGAATCCTAAACACAAGGCTTCAGGAGAGATTTACTGGAGCCATCATAACCGCCCAATGGATTTACCTTGCCTACTGCCTAGACAGAACTATTTATCAAGACAGGGGAATTGCAATGAAGAAAGAGTAATTCATGCAGAGGCAGCTGTGCAGGAGACCACGGTTTTACTATTACTCTAATCAGGCCAGGTGTGGTGGCTCATGCCTGTAATTCCAGCACTTTGGGAGGACAAGGGGGGTAGATCACCTGAGATTAGGAGTTTGAGACTAGCCTGGCCAGTGTGGTGAAACCGCATCTCAACTAAAAATACAAAAATTAGCTGATCGTGGTGGCAGGCACCTGTAATCTCAGCCACTTGGGAGGCTGAGGCAGGAGGATTGCTTGAACCTGGAAGGTGGAGGTTGTGGTGAGCCAAGACCCTGCCATTGCACTCCAGCCTGGTCAACAAGAGTGAAACTCCATCTCAAAATAAATAAATAAATAAAAAATAAAATCAGTCTCCCTTAGCATTCAGGAATCAGAGTTTTTAAAGATAATTGGTGGGTAGGAGCTTGGCAAGTGGCGAGTGCTGATTGGTCAGGTTGGAGGTGGAATCATAGGGGGTCAAAGTGAAGTTATCTTGCCGTCTTCTGTTCCTGGGTACAATGGCAGAATTGGTTGAGTCAGATTACGTGGTCTGGATGGTGTCAGCTGATCCACTGAGTACATGGTCTGCAAAATATCTCAAGCACTAATCTTAGGTTTCATAATAGTGATGTTACCCCCAGGAATTTGGGGGGATTCAGTCTCTTGGAGTCAGAGGTTGCATAGCCCCTAAAGTGTCATTTCTAATCTTGTAGCTCATTTGTTAGTCCTGCAAAGGCAGACTGGTGCCCGGGCAAGAAGGGGGTCTTTTTGGGAAAGGGCTGTTATCAATTTTGTTTCAGAGTCAAACCATGAACTGAATTCCTTCCCAAAGTTAGTTCGGCCTATGCCCAGGAATAAACAAGGACAGCTTAAAGATTAGAAGCAAGAAAGGGTTGGTTAGGTCTGATTTCTTTCACTGTCACAATTTCCTCAGTTATAATTTTGCAAAGGCAATTTTACCATGGGCCCCCTTCCCTTGGGGTGGCAGCACCTCTAGAAAGGGACCCAGCAAGGCTAGCACATGGCAGGTAGAAGCAGGGTGCTTGGGAACACCTCGGTCCTCCCAGTATGAAAGAAAAAGTTCACATGGCAGTACTGGGGGGGTCTCAGGCCCCTTGGAGGAATGCTCCAAGAATTCTGTTCGGTGAAAGGGGCCCCCAAATGCCAAAACAGCTGAGCCCCAAAGGAGGAGGCAGACACATCTAGTTTGTCAGCATTGGGTGATTTACTGAGGGAATTTACAGACAGAAGCGGAACCTTGGGTGGCCACAAGACAGGTGGACTCTGCATTCGCTCTCCCCAGACGCAAGGCTTGTATATACCATAGGGAAAGGGTATCCGCACTCCAGCATGACAACGAAAGGCGGCCCCAGAACAGGCAAGAACGCCATGTGCATCACAGCCTGTGATCTGTGGAATAACATCAAGGTTGACATGCTCTTACAGTAGGGCAGTAAATAAGGTAGAAATCAAAGGCATTCACAAGACTGGGGCGAATCATAAGGCAACATGAGGGAGTGGCATCCAAGATGGAGTCACTTTTGTCTCCACAGGTTCCCACTGCAGACCTGCCTGGGAGTCAGTCTCCACCCTCCAGCGTCACTCAGAAACCAGAGAGCTGAGAACTGGGAACACTGTCCCCGCCTCCCTTTTTTTTTTTTTTGGCAACAGGGTCTTGCTGTGTCACCCAGGCTAGGGTGTAGTGTCCCAATCATAGCTCACTGCAGCCTCAATCTCCTGGGCTCAAGTGAACCTCTTGCCTCAGCCTCCTGAGTAGCTAGAATTACAGGTGCACCCCACTATGCCTGGCTAATTTTTTAAAATTTTTTACAGGGACAGGGTCTCACTGTCTTACCCAGGCTGGTCTCCAATTCCTGGGCTCGAGCAATCCTCCCATCCTGGTCTCCCAAAGTTTAGGGATTACAGGCATGTACCACCATGCTGGCCTACACTGTTTCCAAAAGGAAATGAAAAGCCTCAGCACAGGGCTGGGCGCGGTGGCTCACGCCTATAATCCCAGCACTTTGGGAGGCTGAGACGGGTGGATCACAAGGTCAAGAGATCGAGACCATCCTGGTCAACAAGGTGAAACCCCGTCTCTACTAAAAATACAAAAATTAGCTGGGCATGGTGGCGCGTGCCTGTAGTCCCAGCTACTCGGGAGGCTGAGGCAGGAGAATTGCTTGAACCCAGGAGACGGAGGTTGCGGTAAGCCGAGATCATGCCATTGCACTCCAGCCTGGGTAACAAGAGCGAAACTCCGTCTCAAAAAAAGAAAAGAAAAGCTTCAGCACAACCCAGTGTCCTCCCTGGGGACGCGTTAAGAAGCCACGAAGTGGTACTCTGCACCACTTGCTCAAAGGTGGAATGAAAGGGCATTTGCTGACACAAACGAGGTTCCCAGCCAAATGCTGATGAGCCGTAAGCAGATGATACAGCAGCATGTGACATATGGCACTCTTCCACTGTCCCCTTCCTCCATAGCAATGTTGGTAAAGATGGAGCCTTATTAACACCAGTCATTCTATCCATCCAGACACAGATTATATATATATATATAAATCTAATATATATGTACACATACATTTACATATATGGCTATACTGTATGATACACTCTCAAGACCCCTGGTGGATGCTTCAAACTTCAGATAGAATTCTCTCTCTCTCTCTCTCTCTCTCTCTCTCTCTCTCTATATATATATATATATATATATATATATATCACCATGTTTTTTCCTCAACATACATACCTATGATAAAGTATAATTTATAAATTAGACACAGCAAGAGTTGAACAATAACTACTAATAAAACAGAACAAGTGTAACAATATACTGTAATTAAAGTTCTATGAATGAGGTCTCTCTCAAAATATCTTGTTGCACTGTCCTCCCCTATTTTGGATCCGCAGTTGAGAGGGGTAACTGAAAACTGGGAAAGTGAAACTCCCAGCGGGATGACTACTATTCATATATATGATTCTGGATAAAACATGCCAGATATTAATTGTTAATGCTAATATTAATAGTGATGGGAATGGGACAATTTTACATCCTCCTTTGTGCTTAATGTTATTTTAAATTGTAAACAAATTATTAATTTTTTTTTGATAATGAGTCTCGCCCTGTCACCCAAGTTGGAGTGCAATGGCATGATCTCGGCTCACTGCAACCTCGGCCTCTCGGGTTCAAGTGATTCTCCTGCCTCAGCTTCCCGAGTAGCTGGGATTACAGGCATGTGCCACCATGCCCAGCTTGAGTAGAGATGGGGTTTCTCCATGTTGGTCAGGCTGGTCTCGAACTCCCGACCTCAGGTGATCTGCCCGCCTCAGCCTCCCAAAGTTCTAGGATTACAGGCGTGAGCCACCGTGCCCGGCCGACCAAATTATTTTTAAATTTGTTTCGTTCCATTTTTCTTTTTTTGGCACGTGTCTATCACATGTTAGGACGCAGGGCTACTGCTGTAGTTCCTTTTGCAGGGGAAGCCATTTCCTGGCACACAGCCTACCCAATGTCCCCTTTATTTTTGTTTAAATCAAACCAAAACCCTAGGAGGCGCCCAGGGTGGGCCCGCAGGGGACGGCTCCACAGTACCTGCGGGGTCGCAGGACCGGGTGCTGGTAGCCTTCGGAGTTGCCCCCCGGCCTCCCGCTGCCCAGGCTCCGGCTTTCTCCGCAGGTACCACCTCGTGGTGATCGCCCTCATCTACTTCCTGCCGCTCACAGTGATGTTCGTCGCCTACAGCGTCATCGGCCTCACGCTCTGGAGGCGCCCAGTGCCGGGACAGCAGGTGCACGGTGCCAACTTGCGCCACCTGCAGGCCAAGAAGAAGGTGGGCGAGGGGGCGGGCCGGGGCCTGACCCTGCCCTGGGGAGCCGCCCTTGCCGTTTCAAGACCCGCCCGCAAGGGGGCGCCCGAGAGAAACTTGCGGAAGCTGCCTTTGCGGGAAGCCTGGGACAAGAGCCTAACCGTGTTCCTCCCAGGCGGGTGGATTTGCCTTTGGTCTTTGGCCAAATGCAAAATTAAAGAAACTTCCCAGAATGTTAGGGGAGTCAGGGACTCCTAAAGCCCCACAGAATTCAGATACCTCCAAGAATCTTAGAATGATAAAATATTAAAATCTTAGACTTTTTGACTAATCAAAATGTTTAATTTAAGAAGCCCCACAGAACTACAGAAGGTACCTAGACAGTCACAGGAGAGCCCTCAAAGGCTGGAACTGCGGACCTCAGAGGATTGTCCAGCTTCATCAAATCTGTCTCCAGCCTCTTCTGGAAGTGCCAGTGTCCCCTACTCCCTGCCATCCAGGCTCCCCCAAAGGTGCTGATGTAGCACTCAGTGCCCCAGGCCCTTCACCCTCCTCCAGTCCAAGCTTGTCCTTGCCCCCTTCCTGCCAGGCAACAGGGGAGGTAATGGGTTAACGATATCATGTTGCCAGGTCAAAGGCTTCTCACCCAATAGTAGGCATCTTTCCCAGGGTAGTTCGGAAAGGTAGCTGGACACGGGCACCATCTGGTGCCCCTCATGAGCACTGGTGCCCCTCATGAGAAGGTGTGATGCCACCTTCTCCACACTAGGGCTCTCAACCCAGATCCTACGTGAGGAACAGGGTACCCAGAGCCCCCAGACTTTTTGTAATTGGCATGCTGGGTTGGTGAATGGTACAGGAGTGTGCTGCAGGGGCCAGGCTGTGAGGACGGGGAGGTACAGGAGCTGACGCCTGGGCAGAGGCTGGGATCCCTGGTTGGAGCCTCACAGCCCACAGAGAGAATTGTGTAGACACGGATCCCAGAGAGGGGGTGGCCTGGGAATGCATAGCTGACATGGGATCCCCTAGGGATGGGGTTCGGGGAGAGAGCTCAGCCACTCTCCAGCTCAGCCACTCTCCAGAGCTCAGCCACACTCCAGCTCAGCCACTCTCTGCAGTGAATGCAGGCCACACCTTTTCAGGAAGTGGCCATTGAGCTGGGCTTCCTGGAGTGAGGACTTCAAAGGAAGGATGGCAGTGTGGGCAGAGGGACTGGCCTAAGCAAAAGCCCCTGAGGCTGGGGGCTCAGGAATGTCTGGGCATCAGATGCTCAGGGGCCTCAGTAACAGAACTAATGGGGTCTCAATATGGAGAGATTCCCAGGCGGATACCAGGGGTGCTCTGTGTCTGACCTTGGAGGGCTGGGGCTGGGGCTTGGGGACTGAGAAGTAACTTGAGCATCTCCTGTACCAGTTCGTGAAGACCATGGTGCTGGTGGTGGTGACGTTTGCCGTCTGCTGGCTGCCCTACCACCTCTACTTCCTCCTGGGCAGCTTCCAGGAAGACATCTACTGCCACAAGTTCATCCAGCAGGTCTACCTGGCACTCTTCTGGTTAGCCATGAGCTCCACCATGTACAATCCCATCATCTACTGCTGCCTCAACCATAGGTGAGCCCCACTCCAGCCCCACCCTCTGCCCTCAGGGCCCCACTGCCGGGCCCACCTGGGCTCCCCTGCACAGCACAAGCGTCCACCCTGGCTCATGCCAGAGCCTGTGCCCCCATTCCCCCAGCCTACATGAGAAAGCCATCCTCCCTCCGGCCTGGGCCTAGCCTGAGCCCCACTCCTCCGCAAAGCCTTGCCCAGGCTTCCTGGCTGTAGCTCTCACCACCTGTCCCTGCTGGCTCTTCTGGGTTCTGTGTCTGGGGCAAGGAGAAGGGAGAAGGGAGGGCCAGAGATGGAGGGAAGGGGAGAGGCAGAGAGAGGGGGCAAGACAGACAGATGGAGGAAAGAAGAGCCAGGTCACAGGAGGGACTGACTTCTAGTATTTTCAGGAGCTTCCTCCTGAGGGCTTTCCTGGAGCCGAGTGAGCACCCGTCCTGCAGTGGAAGCAGTGGAAGGGGGCTGGGGGTAGCACAGGGATGGGGCAGGCTCCTCCCTGGGAAGGGCACAGTACATGCCGTCCTCGAGGGGCTTTCAGGGCAGCTGGGAAGCAACCTTGGCAGAGACAGTCAGGAATGAGAGGGCCAGAATCTCACTCTCCTTCTGGCCTCATCTGGCTTCCCCAGCCCTTGTGGTTCTGAGGAAATGAGTCCTGAGAGGGGCCTGCCCTTGCTCTGGGGCGCCTGGAGAGGTGGGGGGGTGAAAAGCCAGGCAGGACCCCAGCCCCAGGAGACCTCCTGCAGAGCAGGCCTTTCAGCTGTAGGAAACCCTGAAGGTGGGCAAATCAGGTGGCGAGAGGTGGACAGTCTTGCCTCAGTGAGGCGATGATGTGGGCGAGGTTGGCCTTGGACCTCTTAGTTTGTGTTTTTTGTCACCTCCCTAGCCAGGTAGCCAGCCTACTCATAATGCCATTGGGGTCTTTATTGCTCACACATTTCACCCACCAGGGGCTGGCCAAACGGAAGTAAGGAGCAATGATTTTCTGCATGCCTACTGGCGACCAGAACCCTCTATCTCCTGAGAGGGAAGTAGATAATAGAGAAGCAGGTGTCATCCCCATTCTACAGATGAGGAAACTGAGCTTCAGAAAGGAAGATGCTCCCAAACTCATACCACAAAGAGTAAAGCCAGGACTCCAGGTGTCTCCAGGGCCTGTCATCTTACCACCACACCATGCATTTCTTTTTCTTCTTCTTTTTTTTTTTGAGATGGAGTTTTGCTCTTGTTGCCCAGGCTGGAGTGCAATGGCGTGATCTCAGATCACTGCAACCCCCGCCTCCTGGGTTCAAGCAATTCTCTTGCCTCAGGCTCCCAAGTAGCTGGGATTACAGGTGCACACCACCACACCCAGCTAATTTTTTGTATTCTTAGTAGAGATGGGGTTTCACTATGTTGGCCAGGTTGGTCTCAAACTCCTGACCTCAGGTGATCCACCCGCCTTGGCCTTCCAAAGTGCTGGGATTACAGGCATGAGCCTGTAAAGACTTGGGGGATTGAGAACTTGGAGACAGGGACTCTGACATCAGGGAGGAGCCACCAGCCCACCGTGTCTGTGGGTTGGTCACTCTCCTGATACCCAGGGGAGATACAATCCCTGGGAATCTGAACAACACCCCAGGCTCTACAAGATCCTGACATCACTTCTGGACCATTCCCTCTCTGAGCACCCCATGTTCCCTTTCTGCTGTCTGATTTCCTCCACTCACCGTGTGTGCTTCCTCTGAACTCCTGTTCCATGCTGCCATGGGGAGAGCTGTTTATTTTCAGGCAAATGCACCAGAGCTTGGTGGCTCCGAGTGTGGGTTTTTCAAAGCAGACTCCTCGGGAAAGCATCCTTGTTCTCTGGAGTTGCCAAAGCCTCCATTGTGTTTTAGCAGGTTCTTCTCTGATTCCTCCATTAGAAGCCAATTAACAAGTCAAGCAGGAACATCTGCTGGGTTTTTGTTTTGTTTTTTGTTTGTAATTATGCTGGGGCAGCTTTTTGTTTGTTTGTTTCTAATAACAGATGACCTAATTCAGCTTAGTCACCCACTTCACTAGACTCAGCTCCAGAACACTCTGGCAGTTTCCACAAATCAAATTCAAGAGCCCCGGAGCCATGGGAGGCTCTTGGAGGGAGGCAGTGACTTTCCTCTGGAAGGGAGAGTTTCCTGGGGATGGGGGCAGTCACATCACAGCTGCTGTGCCCCTAACTCCCTGGCTCAAGGTGCCCCTCGCTCCCCTAGGTTTCGCTCTGGATTCCGGCTTGCCTTCTGCTGCTGCCCGTGGGTCACACCCACCGAGGAAGATAAGCTCGAGCTGACTCCCACACCCTCCCTCTCCACGAGAGTCAACAGGTGTCACACTAAGGAGACTTTGTTTATGGCTGGGGATGCAGCCCTGTCCGAAGCTACCAATGGAGAGGCGGGGCATCCCCAAGATGGATCAGGGCTATGGTTTGGGTATGGTTTGCTCGTCCCCACCAAAACTCATGTTGAAATTTGATCCCAGTGTGGCACAGTTGGGAGGTGGGAGGTGTTTGGGTATTAGGGGTGGATCCCTTATGAATAGATTAATGCCCTTCAGCTGGAGTGAATCCTCACTCTTGTGGGAATGGACTAGTTCCCAAGATAACAAGTTGTTAGAAAGAGTATGGTGTCCTTAGTTTCCCTGTCTTACTTCTTCTCTCACCATCTGATCTCTCTGCACACAACCACTTCCCTTCCACTTTCTACCATGACTAGAAGCAGCCTGAGGCCCTCACCAGATACAGCTGCCCAATCTTGGGTTTTCCAGCCACCAGACTCATGAGCCAAATAAATCTCTTTTCTTTATAAATTACCCAGTCTCAGGTATTCCATGAAAGCAACACAAATGGACTAAGACAGATGCCTACTGAACCCTGAAGCCTTGTGCCTGGCTGCGGAGTGAGGTGTAGCACCCTTTGAGAAGTAGCCAATCAAGAAGACCAGATCTGAAAGTTCAGCTCATGCCCCATCCTTCAATACATCAATGCAAAAACAAGATGGGGCCGGGAACTCCAGAAAGGATGCTGACTCTAAAAGGACTCAGCCCCACATCTCAGAGAGCACCTCAGGAAATCCAGTAAAGGTCAGAAAAGACAGTGTGAGCTGGTATTTATCTAATCTAGGAGATGCAAGCTCAAATGCCTTCCTGGAGCATACAAGATTACTTATAAAAGAAAAACTGCAAATGTGATAATAAAAGGCAACTGACTTCCAGCCTCAGTGCTGAGGGACTAGGGAATGGTGGGGGCCATGGCAACCTGGAGACGACAGGCATTCCAACGGGACAGGAACTCCCCAGCTCTGGACAAACATTGCCATGTGGTAATGGGAGCCCACTGTTGCTAGATCTTCTGCGTCTTTCCAGAGAGGCTGTAAGTCCAGATTTGTAGGTGAGTCTTCCAGATTTGTTGAATTTGACCCACATTTTCATAAACTTTATGTAAGCCAAACAAAACGTATCTGTGGGCAATGCAACCGACACTGATTCACCATCAGGCTGTGGATACAAGGGAGGAAAAGTCTTATTTCACAAAGCCCAGTGACTGTGAGTCAGCCGAGGGCCTCTCTGCCTCAGTATCTAAGATGTCAGATCCAGCCCAGGTAGATGGTGATTAAGAGTCCGAAGAGTCAGCTGTGTTTCCTCAGGCACGTCACACCTGAGCTCTTCCTCTGCCCAGTATTAAAACTACTTCACAGGGATGCTGTGAGGAACAATGGAAGTAATACCTATAAACTAGCAGGCCAGACCAGGTAAGTGCCCAATACATGGTAGCCAGGCAGGAGTGCAGTGGCACCATCAGGGCTCACTGCAGCCTCAACTTCCTGAGCTCAAGGGATCCTCCCACCTCAGTCTCCCATGTAGCTAGGACCACAGGCACACATCACCACATTCAGCTAATTTTTAAGATTTTTGTAGATACGAGGTCTTGCTATGTTGCCCAGCCTGGTCTTGAACTCCTGGGCTCAATAATTCCTCCTGCCTGTCTCCTGAAGTGGTGAGATTCCAGGCGTCAGCCATCACATCTGGCTGTTAGCCGTGACTTTTAACTATTTTACACAAAAGCCACCTACAAAGCAGCAGCACAGCTCCCACTCCCACTGAAGCAAGAAGCTGGAGGGCAGAGAGCAGCAACTGTCCCAACTCCCAGGAAGCTCCAGGTCTGGCCCAGCCCATCCCAAGGATACACCTCTTGCTTGTCGACTCAGCCTGTCTGGTTCCCCTGTAGATGAACCACATAACATCGTCAATGCACGTTGCAAGATGTAATGTTATCTGTGTTCTCCGCAAAATCACTGCTCCATAGACACCAGCACCGTGCCCCTAATAAAAGGACTCTGATCTCACCAAACCAGGTGGTCTTGCAGTCAGTCCTGCAGGAAGGCACTTAGAGCGGTTGTGGCTTGGGACATCACAGGGTGCTTGGGTGCCGAGTGACATGGAACTCACCAAAAGCTTGGAGAGAATCCAAAATGAGAGCCTGGGGATGGAACGGCAATCTCTTGAGGTGGGGGTGGGGAGGGAGAGTAAAAAGGTCAGACAAGGTTTAATTTCCTAGGGATTGGGCAAATATAAGATCCAGGAGCGGGTGGGCCAGGAATGGTGGCTCATGCCTGTAATCCCAGCACTGTGGGAGGCTAAGGCAGGCAAACTGCTTAAGCTCAAGAGTTTAAGACCAGCCCTGGCAACATAGTGAGACTCTGTCTACAGAAAATAAAGAAACTTAAAAAATAAAGAAAAAAGATCCAGGACGGGCAGAGTACAGCCACCCTGGGCTGCTTCGAGATTTCATCCGTGTTTGGGTGAGGGGAGAGGAAAGGGGTGGGGCAGGGCACATTTCATCCTTTGTCTTAGAGTTTGCAGAGAGGAAGATGAAGGCAGGATCCGTGTGGGGATGGCAGAGGAGACCAGTGTTGCAGTACTCTCATTGAACCCAAGCAGTCTCTGGAAACCAAGTGGCCTGTTCTGTAATCCCAGCATTTTGGGAGGTCGAGGCAGGTAGATCACCTGAGGTAAGGACTTCAAGACCAGCCTGGCCAACATGGCGAAACCCCATCTCTACTAAAAATACAAAAATTAGCTGGGCGTGGAGGTGCGCACCTGTAGTCTCAACTACTCAGAAGGCTGAGGCAGGAGAATTGCTTGAACCCAGGAGACAGAGGTTGCAGTAAGCTGAGGTTGTGCCACTGTACTCCAGCCTGGATGACAAGGCAAGACTGTCTCAAAAAAAAAAAAAATAACTCTGGTTGGGTGCAGTGGCTCTCGCCTGTAAACCCAGCACTTTGGGAGTCCAAGGCAGGGGGATCACGAGACCAAGAGTTCAAGACCAGCCTGGCCAACATGGTGAAACCCCATCTCTACTAAAAACACAAAAATTAGCTGGGCATGGTGGCAGTTGCCTGTAATCCGACGTACCAGGGAGGGTGAGGCAGGAGAATTGCTTGAACACTGGAAGTAGAGGTTGCAGTGAGCTGAGATTGCACCACTGCACTCCAGCCTAGGTGACAGAGCAAGACTCTGTCTCAAAAAAAAAAAGCTCCTCCACGCAGAAGGCCAAAAAACTCCCCAGTGTTTGGTCTTTGACACATCCTAAGAAACATCGTACCCCACAACCTGTTGCCCCGTCCCCAGCCATTAAGCATCACTCAGGTCTTTGAATCGGTACAAAGTTTACTAGGTCATACGACATGGCTCACAAGCGGTGGGAAATTCCAGTGATGGCATTGTTCGTTGGTTGGTTCCTTTTACCCAAATGGAGACTAAACACATTCCCGCAGGATTGTCACCTCTCCCCACGAGACAAACAGAATGCAAGACTGTCACACGTAGCTAGGACTGGTTCCACGGACACACAATTTTGTGGCATTGACACACCACAATGGGACGCCAGGCCGAAGTGGGTGCCAGGAGGGGAGGAAGCGGCTAATGCTATGCCCACACTCGCCTTCAGGCAGTGCCCCCAGGAGGGAGCCTGGCAGTGTCTGCTGGTGATAATACATTTCACACGGGGAGGGGGAACCCCAAGGATGGACTTTGGAGGCCCAGAAGGCCTGTCACGTGGTGCGACTTTCTATCTCCAGCCAATAAATAACTCCATTGGATGAATGCATACATTAGAAATGGATGCCAGTACACTTCACACGTGGGGGACCAGGTCGAAGTCAAACCATGCAGTGGCAGGGCAGGTGAGGGGGATCCGGGTGAGAGATATTATCAACAGCACACCCTCTATTCTGTACCCTACAATATACACCATTAGTTGGAGTTTGCTTTCCTCCCCATGCTGGGGGGCCTCGGTGCCGGCGTCTCCCAGCACGGCCCGCTGGGAGGGTAGGGGTTGCCGCTCAAAGAGAGAAGTGCTGGAGGGGCAGCAGGTGGGGGTCCCAGGCTCTTAGCTGCTTGCCTCTGTGCGCAACCGCACGCCCACGGCCGTGATGAGGGCGGCCCCCTTGCCGCTGCCATCCTCAGATAGGAGGAAGGACACGTTACATTTTGGTGACAGTTCCTTCACCGTCTGGTGCATGATTCTGGAGAAGCTACAAAGGACGAGAAAATAGAAGGTAGTTGGAGGAAGATGAGGGACGCGGGGCTCACCCGGAAACAGCAAAGCACACACAGACCCCCCAACTGGTGATGATTCCACTTAGGATTCTCTGACTTTGTGAAGGGTTTTATGGGGGCATAAGCATTGGAAGTCAAAGAGACTCTGAACCGGACAATAAGAAGCATAAACACGGTTGGGAGGGAGGCTGCTTAGAAGCAGCTGCGGCCGATTGAGCACGGCTGGGAGGAAAGTGGGCCTACAGTCAATCCCATTGTCAGAATTTTCAGCAGGGAGGCCCAATGAGAACCCAAACACAACTGCTCTGTATGGCTTATGAGGGCTAGGATGTGAATCACACTCGCACACCCCCCACATCGGAGCCTGAGGCTCCAAGGGGACCTAAAAACCAAGGAGCATCCTCCTAGGGGCCAACATGGATCACTGAGGCAGGACCAAGCCGGCCAAGCACTGCATCGATCAGGAGGCTATGCAGGAATGAACATCAGCCTCCCCCGCTGCAGCCCTGAGACCCCCAGACCCCCATTAACAACCTGGCCCCCAAAGACAAGAATGCCCTCCAGTGAAGGCAGTTTCTGAACACGGGCTGAATCTATATCCCTGCAATTTGGGCTGAAAATGAAAGGCAGGGCCAGGCTGAAGATGCTTGGGGTGAGGGGCTCTCAAAAGTAATCACTGCTCTTGGTTGGGGACCTATCAGGTGGGCTGAGTGCGGTGGCTCATGCCTGTAATCCCAGCACTCTGGGAAGCTAAGGTGGGAGGATCACTTAAAGCCAAGAAGTTTGAGGACCTACTAGGTGTCTCTTACTTTATAGATGTAATTTCTAGTCCTGCCGGAGGCTGCCATCCCATGAGGAAGATGAGATTTTGCAGGGAGTAAGCAATTGCACATAGATTCTAAGTGTCGGTGCCAGGGTTAAATCCAAGAGCATGTGGCTCCAAAGCCTAGCTCTAAACCACAGCTGTGTGCTGCCTCAGCTGATGGCAAGGACAGCTGTTAAGGTGAAGAGACAGAGGTGAGGATGGAGCAAGACGGATGGTTCCATCCCAAGCCACAGCCATGAGGTAAGCAGGTAATGTCTACATTGAGTCAGGTGAGGTTGCTTTTAATTAGGGTGACACTATGGCCTCATTTATCTGGATGGTCTTAGTTTGCCTACGGTCCCAGGGTAATCATGACTAGCACTCTTGACTGGCAAGAGTACCCCAGTGTAGACAATGAATAAATAATCTGGTCACCCTATTCCTAAGAGCCAAGCTTTGAGACACTCGGATCACAGTCACAAAGCAAGCGGAGTCACGTGTCCTCTTCTGGCCTGGGGGGTCAGACGCATGACCAGAGAGAGGCCACTCCCAACCCCTCCCTGCCAGGAAGCCCAGGGCCCAGACCACTCCCGCCCTTCCAACCTTAGCGAACTGATTCAGCAGCTGAACAAGGCAGTGGTTCTCCTCCTTTCTTATTTTATTTTTTGAGATAGGGTCTCACTCTGTTGCCCAGGCTGGAGTACAGTGGCGTGATCTGGGCTCACTGCAACCTCTACCTCCCACCCCCAGCTTCCCAAGAAGCTGGGACTATAAGAGTGTACCACCACACCTGGCTAATTTTCAAAAATTTTTTATACAGAGAACATCTTACTATGTTGCCCAGGCTGGTCTCAAACTTCTGGACTCAAGCAGTCCTCCCACCTAGGCCTCCCCAAAATGTGGGATTAAGGTGTGAGCCACTGCACCGGCTCCTCCCCTTTCTTAATATTGTCTCCCCACTCACCCACATAGCCTCTGGCCTGACCACAGCTCACCAGGCTTATGAGTGAGCCCATGCCCACACTCACCCTCACCTCCTCTCCCACTGCTAAGCCCCCACCTAAGAGGGCCCAGGAGGAGTGTGGTGAGGGTCACATCATGTCACTGGCGTGAGCTGGTGAAGTGAAGCCACTTCTCTCTCTCTATAAGGATCCCAGTCAAACCCTACAAACTGTTCATTACCTTGTCCCAGATAATCCCCAGTTCCTCAACGCAGAGCCTTCGGGCTGGCTGGGCTCTGGCAGGGAATTTCCCCAGCGTGAACCACACCCTGATATCCCCTAACCCAAAGGGATCCCAGTAAGCTCTGTGCATTCCAACTGGAAGGCCCACTCACTGCGGATGAAGCTTGTAGAGCGTCCCGTCCACTCCCACAGTCACGTTCAGACGGTCCAGTCCTCTGTTCTCTCGGATCTTATCCACCACCGCAGCCATGCCTGCGCCACACAGCTGCGCAGCCCTTCTGGACACCACCCCGCACACGGTCTTGACGAGGATACTGTCATCACAGGTGCTATTCAGACCCAGCTGCTGGAGGATGGCCCGGACCTGGAGCAGTGCTAATCGGTCACTGTGGGGGACAAAAGCCAGAGGGCTGGCTGAAGTGGGACCCACAAGAGCCTCCAAATGACAGGCCCCCAGTCACTGTACTCATCCACAAATAGAGTCAAGGGCAAGCATTCCATGTTAAACTGTGGAGAATCTGGCAAATCTAGTAAAATAAAAATTGAAAAATTGAAACCATTCACTGTGTCAACATCTAGGAAAATGCTATTCACATTTTAATATATTTCCTTCCAGTTTACTTTTCCTAGCTGGTATGTTTCTTGAGATATGCAAAATGGGCTTGACATTGAGATGTGATTTTCTTCCTCTTTTCCCATTTCACACATTGGGCAATTTTCCACAGCCTTATCTGCAAACAGGACTGCAAACAGCTGCCACAATATTCCATTCTAGGGACATACCATGCTTTCTTTAGCCAGTTTGGAGAAATTCAAGTTAATTCTAATTTTCTGCTATTATAAAGAAACATTCTGATGAATTTTGTTTATAAACCTTTGTGCACAATTCTCATTGTTTTCCTTAGGATACATTTCTGGGTGAAAGAGCTTTGGCTATACATTGCCAGATGCCTTTTGGAAAATTGCACCAATTTACTCTCTCCTCAGCAGAGTATTTGGCCACACTTCTACTCAGTGGAAAAGACCATTTTTTACAACTTTTGACAGTTTTATAAGATGGCACCACAACACTGTGGTTTAATCTATATTCTTCTCTATTAGTGAGGATGATTTTTTTTTCATTTGTTCTTTGACCATATAAGCTCTTATGTCTCATATAAACTCATATAAACCTCTTAGGTCTCAAGACTCTTCTCCTGGGATATTTGTTTTGTTTATATTAAATGGAAACAGATGATGATGACTGGATGGAAGCAATGAAGACCAGCCACGCCGCTCAGAGGACTTGCCACGTAACATGTATTTTACATACACTACCTTACTTACTCCTCAAGCAACCAATGCATGTGTGACCATTCACATTTTAAAGATAAGGAAACTGAGGCGTATCTCACTCAACGGAGTATCTCACTCAAATCACACAGCCGGTGGAGAAGAGCAGGTCTAGAGCAGACCCGCCAAAGCCTACCATGCCCTGCCAGGCATCTTGTCACATGCAGTACAAATGTCTCCCTCAGTTTACTGTTGCCTTTTAAGTTTATTACTATTTTTTTTTTTTTACTTACAGATGCTATGTGGCTATACTTGGCAGTTTTTCTTTATGATTTCTTTCTTTGCTATTATGCTTAGAAAAACTTTCCCTACCACTTCACACCCATTAGGATGGCTATTCTCAAACAACCCAGAAAATAACAAGTATTGGCGAGGATGTGGAGAAACTAGAGCTTTCAAGGGCTGCTGGGAATGTAAAATGTTACAGCCACTGTGGAAAACAATATGGTGATTCCTCAAAAAATTAAACAGGGAATTGCCATATGATCCCGCAATTCCACTTGGGGTGCGTATACCCACACAAAAACTGAAAGAAGGGACTCAAGGAGATACTGGTCACCTGTGTTCACAGCAGCATTTGTCACAATATCCAAAAAGTGGATGAGTGTGTGCATGCAATGGAATATCACTCAGCCTTAACAATAAGGTTT